TTAAACTAAGACACATAAGAATTTCACAATTAAAAATTGTCAAAGAACAAATTTGCAACAGTGGCTTCTAACTTACAAGAAAATATTTGCATTCTTTTTTTTAATTTTAGATAGATAACCATACTCCCTGTTAATCTCTATTACTTCATCAAAAAGAAAAGTTTATGTTTTCATTGTTTGATCCTATGATCATTTTTATCATGCCTGAATCTTGTAACCTGAGCAACTGCTTCTGGAGTAATCAATATGCTGTAGAGGAAGACAGTCATCACTAGGGAATTCTGTTTCTTTTATACACTGCATTCCATGGTGCAGCACTAAAATGCAAAGTTTGGAAAGTATGACATTCTTTTTGATGATATCATGTCTCTGATAAGCTGGTTTTCACTTCTTGCTTTGATAAAAGTAAGCTCAAGCAGGACAAAGCATGGAATGGAGAATGAAGTTTATTATGTTCCATCTGAGTTTGGTTGGAGAATATGTATACTGTCCAGCAGGCACACACTCTTTTGGAAACTATGGTGGCTACTTACAAATCAGTTCATAAAGTCATTGTTCCCATTTGTTTGTTTTATTCTTGTAGATCCTTCCAATGTTGTCAAAATATTAGTCAATAATTAGACTGCTTGGAATTAAGGAATTGAAGTACAAAATTAAAACCTTATCTTCTGTGTACCATGAAAAGGTTACTGAATCACTCAGAATACTGTACAGCTTGTGGGCAATGACAAAAGTCAAAGCACTTAGGCTTAATTCAGGTTGTTCCCACCTACAACTAGTCTTAAAAAGAAGTATATGACTAAGATTATTCAGAAGAAGTATCTCAGTTAGTGGAGTTTCAACATATTTGTACAGTTGAAGAAATAAACAGCAAAATACAAAGTTTTAAATCATACTTCAATTCCTAACTCGGTTAAATTGATTACACTTGCATCAGTGAACAAATTATTACTTTTCCTATTGCTCCAAATATTGGCTTTCAGTGTAAGATGAGCACTGAGCATGAAAAAAAAAGTTGCTTAAAGTCTGAATAAAACATGATCTACTTTTGAGATTGAAGTACATTAGTATTTCTTTTGTAGCAGGAATCGAACTTGGGGCTTTGCGTTTGCTAGGAAGGCAGTGTGCCAGTGAACTATATCCCCAGCCTTACATTATTATTAATTATGTATGTTGTACTGTTTAATAAGAGCTGAGCTATGAAATATAAATAGTTTTATACAAATATATTAGTATTTGACATTTGGAACTAGTTCAAGGTTATTTTTTTCATAGGTAAATCAGGATCAATACATTCTGCACTTTTAATTAAACAAGAAAGATATTAATTACCATCACTGATTGGTTTATATTGTGCATTCTTATTCTGGAAAATTTTTAAAATTTGATAAAACACTAGAAAATCTCAAGTGGATAAACGATGATTGGAATGGGGAAACCTAGGTGTTCTTATATAATTAAATAAACAGTAGCATAGACATAAGGTATTTTTTAAAGAAAAGGTGAGTTAGTGGGCTGGGGATTTAGCTCAGCGGCATAAGCACCTGCCTTGCAAGCAGGCAGTTGTGAGTTCGATCCCCGGTACCAATAAAAAAAAAAAGAGAGAGAGAGAAGAAAAGGTGAGTTCATAGATTTGATGGATGACTCTAAATGTCTTGACCATGAGAATCACTATGTCTATTTTTTGTAGACAGAGTCTTCCCATGTAGCTCAGGCTGATCTTGAGTTCACTATGTAACCTAGGATGACCTCAAACTTGCAGTAATCCTCCTGCCTCAGCTTCCTGAGTGCTGGGATTACAGGCATGAGCCACCATGCCCGGCACCACTATGTCTTTATTTTACAAATAGATAAAAAGTTACATGGAATAAAAATACTTTGAAAACTGTTTTCATGACTGAGTTAAAATATGTGTATTTTTCCAGTGCTTGGCAGTAGACACAATATATTGCAAAGGACATTCAGAATAGAAGAAAGGTTACTAATACTGCAGGAAAACTTTTTAAATTTTCCCCACTCTTATATGTCAATGGAAATATTGCTGAAATAATTCTCAGGTCATGTTCTTTGGTTATTTTTCTTAGAATTAGTTTTTCGATAGCCTTTAAAACACATTCTAAGTGAAGTATTTTCAGTAAGGAGCTTCTTTTAGATGGACCTAAGGCACTTCTAATTTCCAGTCATTATCTAAGGAATTTGCAAAGCATTATTCCCTCCCCATAAAAAGAAACAAGCTGACAACTCTTCTTAGATCCTGTAAGGAACTGAGATCACAAGGTAAAGTGTTGTCCCTTAAACTGGAGAGACAGACAGGTGGATACAGAGAGTAAGAGCTTTCTTGAATAGAAAATTGTGAATGGAAATGTCTTAGGAACAAGTTCCAGGTAGCTGGCCCAGGAGGTGCAGGCTCATTCTGAAGAAGACAGAAATAAATTTTTAGGTGGGAGTCTACTTTAGGGGAACCTCATACTTTTATGACTTTAACTTCCGTGAGACCTGACATACTCCCGCTTTGAAGAACAGAGAAAAGTTTTCTGTTTTCAGTGAAAAAGGAAGAGTAGTCATTTAAAAATATTTTTAGTATATTCTATTCTTCTTAACAAGGTCTGTCCTATTTTATTAGAACCTAATGAACCTAAGGGGATAGAAATTTCCAGTAATGTTCTAAGAGATAGGAGGGATTAAATGTCCATGAAATGGCATAACGTTATTTGAAAGAGCACTTGATTAATTGTATTTTGCAAATTCAAGGTCATCTACTAACAAACATATTTTAAAAAACATAATGGATAAACTAAGAGAAGATAAAAAATGGAATCATAGAGAATGGTTAACTAAGTCCAGAAAAGACAGAAAAAGATCAGAAGGAAAAAGAGAAACAAACAATAAAAGTAATAATACAAAATACCAACAAATATGGCAGGTATTATTTAAACCGTACTGATAATCTCTTTTAGCACTAATAATTAAAATTACTAATTAAAAGACAGAAACTGTCAGAATGGAAAAAAGCAAGTATTTATTTAGCAAGGAGCCCGCATTTAATATAAAAACACAAACCGATTAACAGCTGTAAAGGAACTGTATAGAGAGAAATGTCATACTAACTTTATCAAAAGAACATGAGAGTTGAGACAGCAAAGATTTAGAAGAAAGGAAAATGACCAGGAGGAAGGTTATATTATAAAGAGAGCAGTATCCCCCAAACAAAATGATTCTTAATTTTTAAATGTCTAGTATAAGAACATCAAATGTTAGAAGTAAAATCTCTTAAAACATGGAGAAGAAATAATGAGTCCCCCTTTGTAGTTTGGAGAGATGGAGATTTGGTCCCTCATATCAGCAGACAGATCTGGTAGGCAGAAAACCAGGAAAGTTACAGTTGAATTGAATGTCACTCACAATCAACCGAATCTAATGGCATCAGTAGATCATCAAACAACAGCAGAATACACATTATGCTCAAATATATATGTATCCATCACCAAGATGCATGCAGTTATGGGTCATGAAACGTACCTTAAAAAGCTTAAAGATTAAAAATCTTAAAATGTGTGTTGTCAGACCTTGATGGAATTAGGCTAGAAATTAGTGACAGATTTTATAGAGTATGGAGGCAGGAGGATTCTAATTTCTATTCCAATTTCTAGTCTAGCCTGGGAAACTGTCTCAAAATAAAAAGTAAAAAAAACTGAAGGTACAGCTCAGTGGAGAGGATCTGGGTTCAATAGTTAAAAAATCAGCAACGAATATCATAAAACTGCTCAAATCCCCAAACTCTTAGAGATTAAAGAACAAAGCTCTAGAAACTCCTTGGGACAGCCACACACCTGTGATTCCAGCACTCTGGATGAGGTCATCCTGGACTACATAGTAAGCTCAAGGCCAGCCTAAACTGTATAAGATCATGTCATAAACAAACAAAGAGAAATATAGATCATAGAAGTCATAAGAAATATCTTAAAATATTTTGAACTAATAAGAAAATATAGTCTTGAAGTTTGCGGGTTTCAGCTAAAGCAGTGCTTCAAAGTAAATTTTTAGCCTTGAGTACATAAATTTGAAGAGAAGAAAGATGTGAAATCAACAGAAGCTTCCAACTTAGGGAATTAGGAAATGAAATACACTTTAAATCCAAAGTAAACCAAAGAAAATAAATAATATTAAAACAGATTAATGAAATTGTATTTAAAAATCAACAGACAAAAATCACTAAAGCTAAAAAGCTCCTCATTTGAAAGATGAACAAATTTGAAAACTCTCAAACTCGAAAGCAAAAAAAAAAAAAAAAAAAAAACAAGTCATTAATACAATTGTTACTGTTCTCTAAGACAAAATGTCATAGTAAAAAAGAATTTCAATACTTTAATATCTTTGATTTGGAATGATCAATCAATAGATACACAGATACATTTGTATCCTACCCCAGTTAAAGGTGTGAAAAGAAATAGTAGCTGTGACAAATTCTGCTAATGATGTCAACAAAAAAAATTTCAATTTTTAGGCAGAGAGACCTTTAATGTGTTACTGCAGTAATATGTTATCTGCGGCTCAGAGGAGATAATTGATGACTCTGAGAATCACCTTTCACTTTGCTGTTACTGTGTAATGTTCCTTCGTGCTCTAGTCAGTGTAGCAACCAGGGCAACTAGAAATAAGATACAATATCAAATCAGCCCCCAGTGCCAACATTGTACCCTCTGTATGCATAGTACAGAAATACTGACAAGCAGATCTGGAGAAAAGGATTCCACTTTCATAATCACACAGCATTTGATGAATTTCTGCATGAGTCACATGTCAAAGTGAAAGTCATGAATCATGGCTACAGCAACACATTTTTGCATCAAAATAATTGCATGTTATTGATATATGACTCAAGAAATTATGTTTAACTGTGTGCAGATGTTTAGGGAGAAAAATATCTGTATGATTGAAAGGCACTCTCATACTATAAGATATACTTCCTCACTGACAAAATTTTATTAATCTATTTCAAGGTGATGGTTACCACTTCCTGTATGTCAACTCTTCCAATTCCCAAGAAGGGTACACTGCAAGAATCATAACTGCCAAATACTTCCCAGCAAGCCTCGGAATGTGCACGCTTCGGTTCTGGTTCTACATGGTCGATCCCAAGAGTATGGGGATACTAAAGGTACAGAAGAAGAGGGTTTACGTTCTGAAACTTGTCACATGCTTAAGCATTCTTCCCCCACTCCCACGTCCACGCTCCTCTCCTTTCTCCTTCTTTTCTCTGTAATCACACCACCAATGCCAATTCTGATTCCATTAATTTCTCATTTCTTTCAGGGGCTATTGGTCTCTGCCATGTAATACTGTCATTTATCTTAATCTCAGGATTTAGCTCACTGATGGCTGCCACCTGAGCTCAATTATGGTGCTTGCTACTTAGAAGATTATCTGGAGATGAAAGAGTTTTTGGTAGATTTTACATATATCATCTGATGATCTAGTTAGGGACAGAGAAAACATATGATGTAAAGGATAATGGCAAAGAAAATTTTCTCCCTAGATCAAAGGACAAAACAAATATAAGCTTTTAATTATAAATAAGTTCACATTAAAAAAACAACACGGCTGCTCCAGTTTTAACAAATTGAAAAACTAGTGTCTTCACCAAAAATAAATGTCTTTAGAGAAAAAAGCTGCAACTTTACATTATTATATGAAACATAAAATAATTTTTAATCATCATGAACTTGTTTTGATATATAAATATTAAGACTATATGAAAATGTAGCACCTTATCTTGTGGGTCTAGCAATTATTTGATCACTTGTCATTTCAATAAATATAATTGCAATTGGCTTTATCAAACCTTGTCTCATTAATAGTAACAACTGTTACTAGCACTTCCTATCTTTCAAGATACATATCACAAACCTTTTAACCATTATCTATATTAATTATCACCTAATACAGGAGATGTGTTTTCCTAATTTTACAATAAAGGCATTTAGGCTACAAGAGGTTTAGTAACTGTTCTTAGATGACACAGTCACCGGAAGACCTGAGTTTAGAAATCTGACCCCCGTCACCCATGTTATTTCTCAGTTCTCTGTGGTCTATCACAGAAGTCTAAGGAGAAACATGGGAAAGAGGAGATAAAAGGGAAAAATGCTACATGAGTTCTAATTGTTGACAGAAAAGAAGCTCTTATCAAGTAAAAATACAAATGTGCAAAGGGAGTGGGGAGTTTACACTTGCTCTGTGAGAATATGTTTCCCAATCAAAAAGCACAAGGAATAGAAAACAAAAAATAACTTTTTAGTGCTTCAGCGGCATAGGAGTAAATGCAGAACATTTACATATTTTGAAATTTTAAAAATATTTTTGCATACAATATACAGCTTCAGTAGGATAAGTTACAGAATATGATACATTTTATTTAGGTTAATTTATAACCACTGACCTTAAATAGACTCTGTGGCACCTTATTCTATTAGCATGATTAAACTTAGATTGCTGCAGTTGAAGAGCAAAATATGGTTAATTGCTACTCTTGAAAGCAAATACCATTCCATCAAAGACCCAGGGGAATGCAAGCAGATGTCACTTACTTTCTAACAAAATGTTTTCTTGCTCAATGCAAAAAGACCACACATATGTGTTTTGAGTTTCCAACAGCTGGTCAGTGAGTAAGTGATCCCTTACTTTGAAATATATTTCATAAACAGCCTCCAAAATAGAATCCTGCTCTTCTTCACCAAATGCCCTGCTTTGGGTACTAGTAACTTTTCTAGGCAGACTGTAGCATGTAAAAGTAAAGAAAAAAAAAACTATTTTCTATACTAGTCTTCAGAAAGGTCAACCAGAAACAGTTTTAGAGAGAAACTGGCAATCAGCATGGCATCTGCTTTTTTTTCTTTTTTAGAGGAAAATCCGTCTCCCCTATTCCAAATTATCTTGGTGGATGACTTGTCACTGTGTCTTTGATGATTCTATGGGTGACCCAACCAGGGCCAATCATAATCTTCTCTAGTATTTGAAGCCAAGTATGAGATGATTTCTTCTGCTTTGGAAGTTGTAAAGATGTTAGTGAGGCCTGGGGGCATTTTAGATTCTTTCTCAACATGAGGAAAGAGAATACCTGAAAAGAAGGTAACACAGAGAGGGTCAAAGAACTAGAAGAGAAAAAGGATTCAACACTGAATCCTCCTTTGCCTGAGCTAGTAATATTTTCTTTTTATTAATTTCTACTGAAAAAGCATGATCATTACAGGTTCCTGGGAAAAATAGTTTTCACAAGATATCCTGTATCACTGACGTATCACAACAGTGGGGATAAATATTGTTTTCCTAACTACTGCTCTGGAAAATCTGTAGTTACTCTCAGCCTGAAACTTTCCTGCACACATAGTAATTGTGCGTGTCTCCCTATTCTTCAGATTGAGGCTTTTTGTCCACATGTTTTATTTTTTTTTACTTGTAACTCTGAATTTAGATATCTGCCACGGCAATTTTCTATTTTTTGTAAGAAAGTGGTTTTATAACCACTGTGTTGCATCTGTTGAAATTACACAGGCAAACCTGGCACATAGATTACTCCTTTAGGTTTTGAGAAGCCAGGCTTATGCATTATTTTCCAAAGTAACTGGTACTGAAAGTCCAAGTAATATTGTGTAGAATGTGGTCAGGAAGAACTTTTTATTTCTCATGTTAAAACCAAAGATCTGAGAAGACAAATAAATAATTATACCCAGTATCATAGGTGTGGAGAAAGAAATATTTTTTGCTAATTGGGGCTATCAGTTTGCAATTAAGAAGGACATTTTGGCAAATGAAAACTTTATCATTTTTATTTTACTTACTAAACACGACTGGAAATGTGTTATAAGGAAATAAAAGTAATTATGTATTACAATTGGTTTTCCATGTAAGTAGTGTTTATAATGGCAGTATTAAAAACTATTGAGCAGGTATCCATTTCTATACTTTTCTAACAAAAATTATCACAAACAGAATCAAATAATAGCAATGAATCAATCTTTAGTGGCAGTAAAATTGTTTTTCAATTAATATATATAAACATACATATATTAGGTATGATTAAAATGTGATGAAGTTAAATTTTAAAAATTATTACAATAGAAGTTCCATTGCTATTAATCTCCCTCACTTCAAACATACATCCCATCATTCTTGCCAGTTTCTGAAACAGTTCTGAAAGTTCCCTTTCCTGAGTATCGAGTTTTACCCTTGAGGTTGCCTTGATATCCTGAATCAGTGCAAACAATTTGCCTTTCTTGGTCATTTTGAGTATGTTGAGGAACCAGAAGTTTCACATTGGCAGACTGGGTGGAGTGACACACTGTACTGTTTTTATGAGACTGTGTTTCCATTGGATGGCACTTGGCAGCAATATTCATTCTACTTTTGATGGTACCTTTTAAGGATAGGAATGAGAGCTGCTTCCGGAAATGGCGAGAGGGGTGGGATAGGTATGTCTGAAGCATCAGGGAGTGTTCTGAGTGGAATTAGAGGCAAGATATCTTTTATTGTAATATGTTGTAATGTTTAGCTTAAGCATTCACCATATATTTAGATCACACATTTACGTGTATGAAAGAGGAAAACTAAATGAAGGATACACAGTATAATAATTGGAGTAATTATGATAGTACAATGGAAAAATTTCTTCCATTATCTTGGAACTTTACAGTTTTATGTAAAATTATGTAAGTCCAAGCTCTGCACCTACTGAGCATCTGCCTTCTGTTTGTAGATGCTACCTTTCCACTGTACACTCATACAGTGGAAAGGTAAAGGAAGCTCTCTGAGATCTGTTAGCAAGAGCACTAATCTCATTCACAAGGGCTCCACCCTCATGACTGATGATCTCTCTAATCTATTAGGATTAGGAGGTCCTAATACTATTACCTCGAGCTCTAGGATTTCACTGTCTTAACTTGAGGGATTCATAGGTATTTCTTCTGTTGTGCAGAGAGACAAGTCAGAAGATGATTGTTAAAGTCCAGGGCAGAGATATGGCTTGATTGAAATGGTAGTAATGATATAAAGATACATTAGAAAGCAATGTATACAGATTATGCACAGGATTCATAACTCTACTGTCATATTAAGATCATTACTAAATAAAGCATGCTTAGATTTTTATCAGTTATTAATGAAGCATATCATATAAAGCTAAAGCAGTCAACTGAGACATATAAGACTGGGGAGATTAAAGGTGAAATTCAATTGTAGGTTTTCCTTTCACACCTTAGAATAAAAAACAAAACTATTCTGATTTATCACAGCCTTTGGAGTAAAGAGATGCATAAGGAAAGAAAAAGTATGAAAGGAACCAGGAAATCTTCAATGTCTTTTCATAGCCAATGAATGATAATCAGAATATTAAAATGTTCTTACAGCCATCCATTTTCTTTGATTCAAAGATCAGGAAATAATAGAACCATGTAAATTTCTATTTACTTAATAACTATTTTAATTTTTTTCAGTAGAAAGTAACTTATAATGATTAATTTCTTTCTGTCTTTCAACTACCTAACTTCATATGAAATCAAAAGAACTCTATAAAATTTTAGGGGTTCCTTCCTAATCCACATTGCCAAAGGGTCTGTAGGTGACCATGAATCATTCATGAGATTATTTAGTTTCTGTGGTTCAGTTTTTGAGCTCCTGTCCTTTTACTATATCTCAGTGGAACTCTGATACATTAGTTAAGATTTATGAAAAGAGGTGATGTTTACAGGACATGAAAATTTCTGTAAGAATAACTAATATCCTTTTATCACTCCAAATACATCATTAGGGGAATAAAAGGGAAGCCAATGGATGGATTTTTATAATTTAAACTTTTCACAGCATTTTAAGACTTATAGAAATGTATAATCATTTAGGTGAACAAAAAGAACTATTTCCTAAAACTCCCTCCTGTGATAATGAATGAATTTAAAATTATAAATGGTATTCTAGAAGTGATTATTCATATTTCAGGGTATTTGTCCTACCATGTTAAAAGATTTTTAGCTTAGAGTAGAGGAGTTTTTAAACCTAAGTGATTTATAGTAAAATCTATAGATTTTACTATAGAATATGACAGCTGGTAAATAAGTGTTCCGGTTAAGGGAGGCCTAATTATTTTTGAAGTTGCACATGATGTATTTAAGT